TCTGTGCAAGTGCTTTTTCTAGTTGTGGCAAGCGGGGGCCACTCTTAATCGCGGTGCGCGGGCCTCTCACTATTGCGGCCCCTCCTATTGCGGAGCACAGGCTCCAGACGCGCAGGCTCAGCAGTTGTGGCTCACAGGCCTAGCCGCTCCGCGGCATGCGAGATCCTCCCAGACCAGGGCTCGAACCCGTGTCCCCCGTAATAGCAGGCAGACTCCCAACGACTGCGCCACCAGGGAATCCCTAATTCTATGGTTTAAAGTCACCTTTTCCCAGTGCCCCACTACCAAGACTCCTGGATTTAGTTTCACTGACTCAGTAAGTTTAGAGACCAAGGTCTACTCTATTAAATCCAAGCTCCCCATGTGATTCTGGGATAGGGGCCCCTGAGACCCTTTCATGAGAAGTCTGGAGAGTGTTAAGACTTCCCTGGTGGTGCAGTGGTTAAGAAGCCACCTGCCAATGCAGGGGATACGGGTTGGAGCCCTGTTCTGGGAAGATCCCACATGCCTCAGAGCAACTAAGCCCGGGCACCGCAATTAGTGAGCCTGTCCTCTAGAGCCCGCGGGCCACAACTACTGAGCCCACGTACCACAACTACTGAGCCCGTGCGCCTAGAGCCCATGCTCCACAACAAGAGAGGCCACCACAATGAGAAGCCCGCGCGCCGCAACAAAGAGTAGCCCCCACTCGCTGCAACTAGAGAAAAGCCCGCGCAACAAAGACCCAACGCAGCCAAAAGTAAATAAATACATTTATTAAAAAAAAAAGACATAATAGCAAAACTATCTTTACTTTAGGGATTTCAATAGTAAAGACCTTCTTAATAGCTATGAGAGTTAATAACTCACTATCGTTATTCAAATGCAGCCTTGTTTACATCATGTTTTGCTCTAGGATGCTAGCTTTTCTTTCATCTCCCAGCTTTCCTTAACACAGCACTTCCTACCCACTCTTACAGTCTTTATCACCTCTATCACCCGCAGCTATTAATCCTGAAGGAACACATACTCTGCAACTGTGTTGCTTAAACAGCATGTTTTTTCTTTACACTGTTATCACACTAGAAAACAGCAGTCAGCCCAAGATAAATCAAGTTCTTAATCACTCAGTTGCTTTACATACAATCTATATGTTAGAAATCACTTTCAGGGAGAGACACCAGTAAACCCAAACTGCCTTTCAATGTTTTAGTATATATATTAATTTCATAGATTTTCTGCTGTCTCTTCTTATTTCCCTGTGTTTCCTTACCTTGACAACTCTCTTTGCACTTGGTAAAGGATAATTTTCCAAAAAATGACATCACGACACTCACACAGATAGAAAAATAAAAGCTAAAAATCACGTTTTGAAGATCTTGTTTAATGTTTAACCTTATTCCTGAGGAAACTGGTAAGATGTTACAGTCAGTTCAAAGAGGATTCAAAGAACAGACATATCCATACATCAGTAATGCTGAAGTGACTGGGCCAAGGGAGGCAAAACTGGCTTCTTCCCTAGTGGAGGAGCCCATCGACCTCTACCAGGTTGAATTTCCTGGTCTGTAGACAGAATTACTTGTAAGGAAACAATGCCTTGCTTGCTAAGCAAAACAAATAGCAAAAAAACTGGAAGTCTGTGTTAAAGGATAATTTAATGTAAATATGTCTTAGAGATAGTGGATTTCCCTGGAGGGATTTGAAGCTTATCTCCCCCAGAGGTATTTACCTACATTGTAAAACCCAAGAACTTGACCGCCCTCTCCTCAGAGATTTGTTGCATTCCAGAGTTCCTCTCTCACTCTTTGTCAGGGTGGAGATGTGCCAGCCATCCTCTATAAGCTCCAAGTCTTGTAATTTGGGGGTCCCTCTCTCGTGGTACAACTGCAGTAGGCTTAGGTGCATCTGGCACTCACTGCATCTAGAGTGAGAGAGTTAAAGATAAATAGATACAATGTGTATAGAAGGCAAGATAACTTGTTAGCTTGCAAGTGGGATGTCTCATACCCTTCACAGTTTCAGCCTTATCATTATTTTGCAGTTGCATCAGATGTCTCCTATTTACAAAGTTCTAAAATAGTTAAGAGGCAATGAAAATCTCAGAGCCACCACAGAATGACAACCAGATAACCTGGAAGGCTGTGCTCTAGTCTGGACAGCACTTTGTTTTTATTCATTCACATGTTTATTCCTTCAGTGACTAATGTCTTTTTCAGCACTTGCCAAGCCCACGTGCCGGAGATACTATAGTTAGCAAATCAGAACCTATCAGTGTAGTTAGCAAATCAGAACCTATCAGTCTTCTAATAGTGGAAAAACCGATAGATTAAATCACAAAATACTGAATTATGCATTGTGAAGGCTACTTTTTTGTAGTTGTCATTTCTAAATAGGTATTTGTAGAAATATCAGATAACACAATCACGTCCGAAAGAACAGTATAATAGTTTGCAGACGTTCCTCTATTAGTAAAGCACATGCGATTTGGAGCATGGATGCTGGGCTCTCATTCCCATTGCTCAGAATCCATTGTGATGCTTTCATTGTCTCTGCTTTGCCCTGGACATCTTGATTATCTGATAAACACGGCATCCCAGGTAACTTCCTCCTTTGTAGCGCTTTATAACTAGAAAATGAAATCACTTACAGAAACTATCATATGGAAATTTTAGAATTTCAAAAGGAAACATTTCTATGAGCAGCCCTTTAACAGCTGTCATGCACTATGGCCTTGGATTTCTTACAATACCTTAAGAGACCTTACAAGAACACAGTGTGTTCTTCATGGCCCAGTGGATGCTAAGTGATAGGGAAGTCCCTCTCAGGGTGACCCAAAAAGCAAAGAGACAAAGGTTTCAAGGAGGTTTATTGTCCTGCTCTTTCAGCAGCTACTCAGCCGGAGATGAGCTGCTTCATGCACGCCGTTGATTCCCCACAAGAAAAGATGAATCATTCTGCTGAATAATAAAAGCAGAGTCCAACAGAGGCTAGGCTAACAGATTTGCCTGGTTAATAATCTTAAATTTCTAATAGTCAAGATTGTGTGGCTAAAATGTTAGAATTTCAGACTTAATATATTGCCCCCTATATTCTGCCCTTTTTTTTTTTTTTCTTTCCAAATTTGGAAATGGAGGCTGAGATTTCGCCTGACTTTCTTAAGGGCACAGACACATGGCAGATCTGCAGCTCAGGTCTCCTGGTGATCTCTCCACTGTACTGCTGTCTGGTCATCCATAATTAATTTCATGAGCTTATATATCATGTCCTCTTTAAGGAAAATAATTTACTGTTAAAGCGCTTTGGTGAGCTGAAATGCAAGGTGGAAATAAAAGTAACAGCTATTGTTTCAGAGGAAAATAATGATCCACGCATGGAGGGGAGTAAGGCTGTCAAATTTGCCTCCTGTCTCATTTACTTAACAGAACTCTCTACTCAAAATTCTGATGACCAGGAGACGGGTGGGACTGAAATTTCTTGTTCTGATTGTGTTGGTCCATGTGAATGTATTAGCTAAAAAGAGGCTGGCGGGGATTTCTACCTACTCTTTTCCTCCAATTTGGAATATTCTTCTTAATACAGAAGAGTTATGTGATTTAACAGCACATTAATAGCAGAGTTTTGACAACTTCCAATCTGTTTCTCACCTATTAAATCGGAGGCCTTTTGATTAATGTGTTCTTGGGTCTGCGTATATCACAGTAAATATAATAAATTTATTGCTGGGAAAGTTGAAGGATAGATACAATATGCCATCTTCTGTTACAAACCTTGTCGGACTTTTGTTTCATCTAAACAGTTTTGGTAATCAGTATGATTGAAATGTTTACAGACATTCAGGTGCTAATAGTGATAGCTCTAGTACCTACTCAAAGATATATTATTTCTTGTGTTAGTTGAGTTGCTGATGCTGTACTGCATGTTCAAAAAAGTAACTTCTGGGGCTTCCCTGGTGGCGCAGTGGTTGAGAGTCCTCCTGCCAATGCAGGGGACACGGGTTCGTGCCCGGTCTGGGAAGATCCCACATGCCGCAGAGCAGCTGGGCCCATGAACCATGGCCGCTGAGGCTGTGCGTCCGGATCCTGTGCTCCGCGACAGGAGAGGCCACAACAGTGAGAGGCCCGCGTGCCACAAAAAAAAAAAAAAAAAAAAAGTAACTTCCTATTTGCATTGCATAATTATGCACATCACATGATACCAAGATGAATATTTCAGATTTGCTGTTAAAAGAAATAGATGTATTTCTGGTGTAATTTCCTAACATCTGTGTCCGATGAATATATATTTATGTGTGTGTTTGTGTCATAATCATATTATATATAGTTTTGTATCCTGCATTCCCCACTTAAATATTTTGTACATTTTCCCATGTTATGAAAAAATCCTCTATTCAAAACTTGATGTAAAACAGAAATAGATGTACACTCATAATTAAAAATTGTCTGAAGGGAGGTATATATACAGGCCATAAAAGTTTGACTTTCTTTTTGCTGGCAGGATACAATAAGACTAGAAAAGTCATTGTTTACATTATGTCATTTAAAATATTTTACAAATTCAAGGATACATTTTTTTTTCATATTGTAACATCTCTGAATTCAGGGTGCGTTAACAATCAACAATGTTTTACAGTTATAATAGCATCATTTTTTTCTTTCTTGAAGAAAAATAATGACACGTCTTCTAAAAGCAGAATGTGAGATTTGATGAAATGCACCACAAGTTTTAATAATCAGTTTTCTTAACATTTTTCACCATGAATATTTTCTGGCTGAATTATATGAAAAAGTAGAATAAAAACGCTGCAAATGCGTGGCAATCGTATAAATTTCAGGGGAAAAAGTCACTTTAGTATAATTTAAAAGTTTTAAGAATCCATTTGTGTTGATTCTACCTCTCAGAGAGGTTTGATGACTAGAAAACTTCGACTCAGATAAAAGGTGATTTTGATTTTCTTTATTTATTTTAACTTTTGCAGACTAGTGATGGTCTCCTCTCTTTCTTCCCCCATTTCTGCATACAAGAAACTGCGTGGACCATCATCCAGCACAATGGCTCCGATGTAACAAGAGTCCGCAGTACCAATCCAGAGAACCCCTATGCTGGATTTTTCGAATACGTGGCCAGCATGGAGCAACTGCAGGCCACAGTTAACCGTGCGGAGCACTGTGAACAGGAGCTGACCTACTACTGCAAGAAGTCACGACTTGTAAATAAGGAAGGTAAGTACATTGGGGCGTTTGTCCCCCTACACACGTCGCACAGTATGTTTTACTTAACCAGCTCCTGCGGAGTTTAAGTTGGCCAAGATGGAGGCCTAGAGCCGCCTAGTGTGTGTGCTCCCTGTGTCTTTAGCAAACGTGTCGCAGTCTGGAAGTCACAGAGATGCTGTTGTCTGAAGAAGAGAACAAGGTCAGTTCACACTGAGCTTTGTTCAAAGCCTTGATTGTCTTTAGAGTCTCTGCCTGCCCTTAATCAGAGAACTGCACAGAAAAGGGCTTTGTTCTGACACTCGATGAATGCGCGGTGTTGATCCCTCATAAAGGGCAAGTGACACATACGGTTGGTTTTTACCATGGAAAAGAGTTAATGAAAATATGAATCCGTCTTCTGAGAGTGGCTATTCTGTGCGACTCTTTCACGGGTTGTTGGCAGTTACCCTCTGGGTATACCTGAAAATTAGAACAGTCTGCTGGAAACAGGTTTGTTTTTTCTTCAGCAGCTCAAGGAGGAATCAGAAAACCACGTTTAACTCTTTCTTTTACTCTACTTTTAATAACCAGTCTCCTCCTAAATTATGGTTCTGGTCTTGTGTTTTCTCCCTTTAGAGCATCTCATTATGTGACAATATCTCGAGTCCCACCAGCTCTGCCTTAGTGCGGGCTTTAATGACCTAATTTATGAAGTTACTGCAAGATCTTTCCTACTGGCCTCTCAGCCGGTCATCAGTCCGTATCTCCTGCCCACCCACTGTATCATCCAAAAGATTAATCTTCATGAAGAGAATTCACCTCTAAGAAACACACTGCTTCCATCACAACACTTTACTGTTTAAGAAGCTCCAGTGCCTTCCTAGCTCTTCTGTCCAGTACGGACTCTTCCGTCTGGACACCTCAGCTGCGTATTCTGGACTCACTTGCCTATGAACCTTCATGCCGCTCCCCAGCACACTGTTTTCTAGCAGCAGTAATCAGGTGTATTTTTCTTCAGTAGTCAGAGAAGATTCTAAGACATCTGCACAATAAAGCTGCTTTGTTCCCTCTCATTTGTCGTCTTAAGAGAGGTTGGCGTTCCAGACAGAATGACAAGAACTTTAAAATGAAATGTGTTTCATATGTGAATATCATGTGTTATGTGGGTCATGCAGAAAAATTTTGAACTCCTGGTATGACCTTTGAATCTTTTGTTTCCAGTTAAGCCCCAATCCTATTTACTCGTCCACCCACTTAATCCAGTCTGATCATTTTCTCCCATATGCCTGAGTTCCACTCCCTCTTCCTCCTTTTCCTCCTCCTTCTTTTTCAGAATGTTCTCATTCAGCCTCTTAACCCCTCCTAACTCTTCTCATCTTGCTGGTATCCCCTCAAATCTTAACCCCCTGAAACCCCAATCCCATCTGAGACTGACCATCAGATAGTTGTGGTGCAAAGAGCATAGGATTTAGAGGTGGGGAGAGAGATCTGGATTCAAGGTCCAGGTCTCTTGTTGATTAGGTACAGAACTTGGATAGAAGAGTCTTTCTCAGTCTTTGTTTTCTCGTCGCTGAATTGGGGCCAATCATACCAACCTCAGGGGGGCGTGGTCGTGGCTGGGTGGCATAACACATACAAAGTGCATGAAGCGAGCTCCTCCCTTCCCAGCTCTCCAGGGCATCGTGGTTATAGGGAACCTACCGGTTCAGTATGCAGCCGATTGTTCATTATTAGTGAATATTGATAATGGAATCTAAAAAAGAAAAATAGGTAAGCAAGTACAGCAGTGTATTCTAAGAAGAATGAGAACCATAATTTTAGAAGGGAAAATGAATGTGATGGAACAAAATGAACTGAGTTGCTTAACTAGAGAAGAAAGGAAAGGAAAGACAATCATCAAAATCACAAATGAGTCAAACTCTAAAAGAACCAGAACACGGAATCCCCAAGAATGTTAGTGAGCGAGCACCACACGAAGTCAGGGAGACAACAAGGAGTGTGAAGGACTCCCAGGTGTTTGGCAACCACTAGTAAAGAGAGTAGTAAACTCTAGAAGGCTGTAGAACAGATGATAAAGATAACTGTTAAATACACAGATTTTCCTCGGGTCTGTGACGCTAGAATTCATGTAGAATGGATTTGAGGTGGAAAAGAGGGAACTATTTGGATTTGGAGGTCACAGTAAGAAATGTATGGGGAAGATCAGGAAGGTGGTGTCAGACAAGTTAAATTTAAAGTTTCAGATCTTGAGAATATAGCAGCTTCAAGTAATAATGGTGCCATAATTGTGGATGAATAAAGTTAAATGTATATGAAAATGTTTCCGGCAACCTGTGGGTCTGCAGCTCAGCACACTGGAAGGATGCTCAGTATGAATACTCAAGCCATTTGGGATTTTAACTCTGAGAATAGAAATGATCTACCATGATCTCTGATACTTTATCATTTTAATTTCAACTTTAAAATTTTTTCATGCTTTTCTTAATTCTTCCTTATACTTATGTAAATTCTTTAGGACACTTCAAAAAGTCTTGGAGGAAACTGAAGGTATTTGGTATCTTTAAAACATTAAGTGGTTTCTATTTGTAGGGAAAATAGCAAATTTATTTACTTATTTATTTTTGGCTGTGTCGGGTCTTAGTTGCAGCACGCTGGATCTTTGTTGAGGCACGCGGGATCTTTCGTTGCGGCGCAGGCTCTTTTGTTGCAGCACACAGGCTTCTCTCTAGTTGTGGTGTGCGGGTTTTCTCTCTCTAGTTGTGGCACGCAGGCTCCAGGGCTCCTGGGCTCTGTAGTTGTGGTGTGGGTTTCAGAGTGTGTGGGCTCTGTAGTTTGCGGCACACAAGGCTCTCTAGTTGAGGCACACGAGCTCAATAGTTGTGGCGTGCAGGCTTAGTTGCCCCACAGCATGTGGAATCTTAGTTCCCTGACCAGGGATCGAACCCGCGTCCCCTGCATCAGAAGGTGGATTCTTTACCACTGGACCACCAGGGAAGTGCCAGGGAGATAGCAAATTTAGATGCGAAAATATTATTCAGTATTTAGGAATAATGATTTATTTTTTAAATCTGTGAACACATAACGTTTTAAGCAGTATGTTGAAATAAATCTACTAAATGCTTCAAGCAGGTTTCGCCTTCAGTTGATCAGTTAATCATGCAATTAAAGAAGATGAAGATTCTTGATATTAATTAAAGCATAACACAAGCTTCCAACAACTCCTTGTTTTCCCGGCATAGTGGACAGGAATGTATAGTAACGCTGGGAGAGAGGTTGTTTGCATCAGCACAGGTCCAATTTAATAATAAGTTTTTATGAGGTTTGGCATTTGTAAGTAAGGGAGAAATTAGTAAAAGTAGGGCTAATGGCAGCAACTTAAAAGGTTTGTAAGTCAATGGAAAAATGATCAAGCACCTTTGAGGAGCTGACTGATTTGATGTCACCTTCTTCTCATGCCGTGATTCTCAAGTGACTGTGAGTTTTCCTCTCTAACTTGTTGTTTCCCTAAGACAGATTGCCTGCATGCTGCATCTAAATGTTATGTCTATTCTTTGCTCTAGTTCCTTGGCATCATGTTTAGTCTTAGCTCTGTGAAGGAGCTGGTCGCTGAACATTCATCATAGAGATAAATGCATTTGGTTAAGGGAAACTTTGTTTTTGAGTGGAGTATCTGCTTCAGGCGTAAAGATCTCTCAGTGTTATTTCTGTAGTCTTCAAATAAGTAGCCAAGCCAGTAAATGGAAGAAAAAATGTACACTTTCAAACATATCTTAAATCATAACAAGGGAATGCTGTAATATGCCTAATGTTTAATAAACACCTAGTTTATTTTTAGCCAATAAATATATTGAGATAAATCACTAACTTTACATAGCATTTCATAATGTTTTAATGGGCATTTCATGATCTCAAATCAATTTTGTTTCTCATATGTTAATTACTGTGGTTTATAATTTGATGCCTTCTTGTTTCGAAAAATTATTTTTAACAAAATTACATGTGTGATCTGCTCTCAATACATTTATTTTTACTATTATGCCTGAATTAAATAGGAACTGCTGGTTTCTTTTCTACTCAAAGAAAAATATATCAATCACTTAAGCTTAAATAATGAAATATTTTTTTAAAAACTTTCTTAAGGAAATGCCATCAATTACAGTGTTGGGAATATCACTACATCAAATCAATCTTTCTCCGTTTATTCTTTTTAATGACTTGGGAAGGAGGGAATTATACTGGATGGAAGGGTTGGGGTATAGAACAGATGTCACATTTCTCACCTTTGTCTTTCAGATGGAACCCCTCTGAGCTGGTGGGTTGGAAGAACCAATGAAACACAAACTTACTGGGGAGGTTCTTTACCTGATCCTCAAAAATGTACTTGTGGATTAGAGGGGAACTGCATTGATTCTCAGTATTACTGCAACTGTGATGCTGACCGGAATGAATGGTGATTTCCATATGATTTCCTTATGCAAAATCAAGTTTATTATTTTTTTAAATGAGTCACTCAAAACATATATAAGTAGGCAGATACTAAACGAGGTAGTACAGTGAAGAAATTAAAGGTACGTTTTGATGAAATGTATTACAATCTGAATTCTAAATGGTAAGATCACTATCTTTTTATTTGAATTTTTTGGTAATGGATCATGAGTCATACACCTTTTATTTCTGTAATATGATGAAACAGAGGCATCTGTTTCATGTCTGCTTTTCATTTTAATTCAATTATTCTCTTTAAAATTAAGTATAATTAAGAATTATATTATTCTCAAAATATATTTACAGCCTTTAATTACTAACACATCTCTTCAATAATCTGCCTATAAAACCTTTAAATATATAAACTTAGAATTTCCCACAATTATTTAAACGTGTAGCTCTTTTATTTTCTTAAAGGATACACTATGCTATGAAAAACTAATATTCCATTTATCATATTTTGAAAAAGGAAATCTATAATATTTAGGGATTTGAAAATCGAGCTTGAAATATCCCATTTATTCATTTGACATTACATTTATTCATTTGTCAAACATCAAAGACTGTTATATCAAAACCCAGATTATTTTAGAATACCCTAAAGGAGGCCTCTATATGGAGTCATTGATTATACTCTTATTGTTATATGTTCAGTATGAAGAATATTGTCTCTCTTACTCAAGATTTTTCAAAATTTCTACTCCTTTGGGAGATACTTTTTTTTTTTTTTCTCGCTGCCTTCACAGAAAATGCCCACACAGTAATAACGTATTTTTAAATGTGAATAAAAAAAATTTTAAACTAATCTAATCACCAATAACTCTCCAATGTCTGCATGACATTTTATTCATCAAAAATAATTTTTAAAAATAAGACTTTGAAATTTTTCATATTAAATTCTGCTTATGCTTAAGTAGCTTGCATAGAACTAACCTAACCCCAGATAACATTTGTAATCCCAGGAAAACTATTTATTAAAAACACCTACTTGTAGCAAGTGGAGAATAACCAAATGTAGGCAGAAACTACCAGGGTTGGGAGCCTTCAAACCTTAAAAGAAGGGAACTTAAGTGGGTGAGATTTATGTTTATGTGCCTTTTCCTTGGGGCTACTCACCAAACCACCTACCATGGAGTGGCTAGAACTCAAAGAGAATACTAGATTTTTTTTGGCAGGGGATATCAGAGGAAAGTTCAGAGCAGCCAGAATGACTAGAAATTGATTTCTGGACATGTCAGAAAGGAGAAAACCACTTAAGGGGAGACCACTATATCAACTCCTCTCAGACCCCTGACCCTTGAGCTGCACATGCACAGGGGAGATTTCTAGGAACCAAGCAGAGAGATGCAGCTGGGAAAGTGAACAAGCCACACAGGAATTTCAGCAGCAACCACCAGAGGAGAGAGAGAATTTAGAGCTTAAGTCTCATTAATTGAGATGGGCTTTGTAAAGCCCTGAGCTTTCCATAGAAATGACAGAAGGTCCACTGCCTTTACAGCAAAGACGATGTCCGAGAACTGAGTATGATTGAAAACTACAAGTGAAACTGACACAGGCCCACCCTGATGAAGTAAAACCTCCATTATTGTGACAAGGTTGTGATTTAACTGCTTGTGAAAACAAAAGAAGTCTTCAGAGAATGATAACAGAATCCAGAGTCTCTACAATGTATCACCCATCATATCCAGAATATTATAACAATTATTGCTTATTCCAAAAGAGAGTAGACTTTGATCCAAAGTCAAGAAAATAAAAGTACCATTAGGAACAGGCCCTGGGACACAGGTGTTTGATCAGCAGGCAAAAACTTTAAAGCAACTGTTAAAAAACGTATGAAGAATTGAAGGTAAAAATAATCACAAGTAAACAAAGGGTATTCTAAACAGATAAATGAGAACTTTATTAAAGAAGCAAATGTAGGGACTTCTCTTGTGGTGCAGTGGTTAAGAACCTGCCTGCCAACGCAGGGGACATGGGTTCGATCCCTGGTCTGGGAAGATCCCTCATGCCACAGAGCTCCCGAGCCCGCACACCACAACTACTGAAGCCTGCGCGCTCTAAGGCCCGTGTGCCACACGTACTGAGCCCCTGTGCTGCAACCACTGAAGCCCATGTACCTAGAGCCCATGCTCCACAACAAGAGAAGTCACCACAGTGAGAAGCCCGCGCACTGCAACGGAGTGTAGCCCCTGCTCACTGCAACTAGAGAAAGCCCGCGCACAGCAACAAAGACTCAACGCTGCCAAAAAAAGAAGAAAAGAAAAGAAAAAACGAAGCAAATGTAGATTTTAGAACAGAAAAGTACAACATCATCAGAAGTAAAATATTCACTGGATAGACTTCAGCTCTTATGGGAAATAGCAAAGGGAATCTTCAGTAAACCTGAAGGTACATAAGTAGAAATCATTCAGTCTGAAGAACACAGGAAAAAAAAAAAAGATTGAAAGAAACATTGACAGACCCTTTGTGGCTTGTGGGAAAATATCAATGATTTAACAGGCAAGAAATTGGAGTCCCAGAAGGGCAGGAAATAAAATGAGGCTTTATTTATTTATTTATTTATTTATTTATTTATTTATTTGATGAAACTATGGCTGAAAATTTCTCAGATTTGCTTAATAAATATCTCTGGAAGCAAGCCCCCAAGATGGGCCCCGATTTTCCACACTGCCTGTTGTTCACACCATTGTGTAACTTCCTTCTCTTGTATGTCGCATGGACCTTGTGACTTGCTTTTAAGAACAGAATATGGTAAAGGTGATGAGATGTCACTTCAGAGGTTGGGTTACAGAAGACTGTGACTTCTGACTTGCTCAAAATTCTCTGCGTCTTCTAGCCTTCTTGTTTCAATATAGCAATCTGCCATGTCGTGAGCTCTCGTGGACAAAGAATTGAGGGTAGCCTTCAACCAACAGCCAGTGAATAACTGAGGCTGTCAGTCCAACAGCCAGCAAGGAGTAGAGTACTGCCAGCAGCCACAGGGTGAGCTTGGAAACAGAGCCTTCCCCACTCAAGTACGGAGCTGATTGCAGTCCTTGCCAACACTTTGAGTATAGCCTTGGGAGAGACCCTGAGACAGAGGATCATAAATCAGAAGAATCATAGACCGTAAAACGTCGTGTTTTAAGTCACTGCGTTTTGGGATAATTTGTTATGCCATAGTAGATAACTAGTACAACTTCAGTGTATGGATTCCAGAAACTCAGAAGATCTCAAGCAGAATAAAAACCAGAGAAAAACACACCTGGGTTTGTTGTTCACGTTGCCAAAAACCCGTGATAAAGATGAATGTTTTCAAAGTAGCCAGTTTGGGTGAATCTGGTAGAAGACATTCCATACAGGGGGATAAGGATACAAATGAAGGCTGACCTCTCATCAGGAGCACAGGTCAGAAGACAATGGAATGATACCTTTAGTGTGCTGGAAGAGGAAGCACTGTCAACCCAGAATTCTCTACAGGACGAAAATACATTTCACAAATGAAAGTAAAATAAATTCCTGTTCAGATTAAACAAATGCTGAGAGAATCTGTTGTCAGCACAACTGTACCGTAAGAAATACTGATGGAAATTCTTCAGGTTAAACAGAACTAACACCGGATTAAAACATAGATCTTCAGGAAGGAATGAGGGGCACTGGAAATCATGAATATGTCAGTAAATGTAAAAGCCAGTGTTTAAATTTTTCTCTTGATTAGGTAAATTAAATTATAAAGTTTATAACATCTGGATTTAAAATATATTATTACAACCGTAGCACAAAGAACAGGTGTTTATGTAGGGAAGGATGTTAAAAATTATCCAATGGTAGGCTTCTGACATTTTATATTAAGTAATACAACATAAAATATAAGTAGACTGTGATGGATTAAGGATGCGTCTTATAATGTATAAAGAAAATACTAAAATACAATAAACAGTCATATAGCTAAAGGGTGAGTAAAAAAGTAAAATCGAATGCAAAACAATATGCAGTAAACCAAGAGGAGGCATGAAAGGGGGAGCAAAAATACAAGATATCCTGTGGGAAAAAAATAAGAAACAAATACCAAAACGGTAGATCTGGAAACACACTACCAATTATTACACTAAATGGCAGTGGATTAACCATCTCATTTAAAAGGTAGAAAATGGCCAACAGAGTTTAAAAATCACCAACTATATTCCGTCTGCAAGGGACACTAAAATGTTGCCATATTCTTCCATTCTCAGTTGAGTAATTTGATCCTGACTCTTCTGTGTGTGCAAATTTAGCTCAGAACATCTTGGCTTTGAAATGCAATAAGGACTATTGTTTACTTTATAATTATGTTCATCAGAATAATTTTAAGAATCTTGCTGTTGTTACTGTTTTTTAGGACCAATGACACTGGATTCCTTTCTTATAAAGAACATCTGCCGGTAACTAAGATTGTGATCACAGACACCGGTCGACCACATTCAGCAGCAGCCTATAAACTAGGGCCTCTGCTCTGCCAGGGAGACAGTAAGTGGTGGCGACGTGCCATAAACATGTCTGAGGAAAGTGATGTCACTTGAGAACCATGTTTCTATCTTATAATAATTAATCAGACTTCTCTTGTGAAAACTCATAAGCAGTATCTGAAATCATTCCTATAGTCAATCAACAAAGCGCCCCTTATAGAATGCAAAGCCCGGGAATAAATGCTGTTACAGCAAACCTTGTTACGAGTCCAAGAGAAAGAAACCACAAAGCATTTCTATTTGATTGGTTCATAAACTCATTCCATCATTCCTAAATGTCTGCATGCCATTGTCTATAAAGGAAGGCCTCAGTGCTACATAAAATTATCAAGAATGTATGGTGAGTTTTATACTGTTGGGCTTGGGGTGAAATTAGAACATCAGTAGAATCTTATGTTAGTTTAATCAAACACATTTCAACTTTTAATCTCATTTTTTTTTCCAGTTTGTGTGTGTGTGTTTTTAGTCTAAATCAGTGGTACCTGCTGTTTTGTATATTCAATGTATTAACACTCTAAACTGGAATTTTTTAGTTAAAATATAGTTTCATAGAAAATACATATTTTCAGCAGGGAATGAAATTAGCATACATATCCATTTATAACCTCTCTGAAGTCAGCTAGGTTAGAGACTGATGCGTCAATTATTTTTGCTTTTAGTTATTTCCAGAACTTAAAATGCAAATAGAAGAAATATTTATTTACCTTAAAAGTATATCCTAGGGCTTCCCTGGTGGTGCAGTGGTTGAGAGTCTGCCTGCCGATGCAGGGGACACAGGTTCGTGCCCCGGTCCGGGAAGATCCCACATGCCGTGGAGCGGCTGGGCCCGTGAGCCATGGCCGCTGAGCCTGCGCGTCCGGAGCCTGTGCTCTGCAACGGGAGAGGCCACAACAGTGAGAGGCCCGCGTACCGCAAAAAAAAAAAAAAAAAGCAGTCTGCCATTATACCTACCATCCCTAATCTTTATCACCTCTACTTCCTGTTCTGCCAGTAGGCCTTAAACAGCCACTTAAAGATGACATAGGATATTTCGTGCAGAGAAAAGTTATGTGCAAAGAGATGAGATTGTAAACGCAGGATGCATCCTGAGGAATGTGATGATTTTGCGTGACTATAGAGAAATTGTTCTGTACATCACATGCACTCTTCACTGCTGGCTCTGATCTTAACCCTTCAGGGGCTCAGGCCGGCTTCCTCCATTTGCCACCATCCCTGGGGAATTGTTCTGCTTTGACTAAGGTCACTCCCAACTCTGTCCCTTAGGGGTTCTTTCTTTCAGACTTCCTGTCATGAACTTAAGCACACAGCATCTTTTCCCTTAGGGCAGTGACTCTCCATCCAAGGTGATTTTGCTCCCTCAGGGGACATTTGGCAATATCTGGAGACAGTTTTGGCTGTCACAACTGTGAGGGGTTTTATGCTACTGGCATCTAAAGGGAGAGGCCAGAAATGCTGTAAATATCCTACAGTGCACAAGACAGCCCTCCACCACAAAGAATTATCTTGTCCAAAAGGCCCATAGTCTTAAGGTTGAGAAACTACAGCGTTAAACTTTTGTGACCACGGGGATGCAGAAGGAGGCTGGCAATATCAGGAATGAGGATTTACAAATACTGTAAGGATTTAGAGACCTGCTGATTAATATCTGACTTATTAATGAAACAATCACTGAGAGCTTTCCTTGGCCTTCTTGTCCCCCATATCTACTTTAGTGTTGAGGCTCATCGCCACATAAGGTCATAGAGCATTTTCTGCATAAAGGGCCCTTTTTAAAAACTTTCTCAGTCTGAAGAATGATGGTGGCAGAGTAATGAATGCCCCCGTTTTCTCTGTATGGGCAGACTGTATCTCTGAGGGTGCAATGCCCTAGACACAGTTTTTTTCCTTCCCAAGTGAGATACACTGGGCAGATGTAGGGCTTCTAGTTATGGGATCATGCACAGTGGGCCTTATAAGCAGAGGAAAGATATGTGGATGTTATCCTGAAGGCATTAGGATCGGAACACTAGTTAGGCCTGGGATAATTTAAGACTTAGTTTAATTCTTATGACCCAACTGAAAGCATGGAAATCAGTTACAGACCTAAAGACAGGAAGGTGACCTTTGACGTAAGACAAGGAAAATGATGAAGGCTTGAACTAGGCAATAGTTGTCATGGGGCTTAAATAAGGGGCTCAATTAGGGAGGTAAGTTCAGTATGATTTGGACGGGAGTGAGGGTGAAAAGCTGTGAGGATGATCTCCAGCCTCCTGACTTGAGTAAAGCAGGTAGCACCGTTTGTTGAGACGATAAGAATGCTAGTACCCTTCATTGAGACACAGAATTTTTAGATTTTCTTTGAACAGAAAAATGGAAAGATGAAAATAAAAAAATGATATTTTGGATTTATCACACAAACCAGAGATGTTGAAAATTTCATATCTAGCCATATTTTTCTAGGAAAGAAGACAGAAGCCTTGAGAAAGCAGGACAAATAAACAAAAATGAGTGAGACCTACAGGTACCAGATATGAACTTGCTCCTAACTCCAAGTCTTTCTTTTCATTGTTTTAAATGTAGATGGGTATAAAATTTTGTGTTACCACTGCTATTATTGCTTAATGTCAGAAGTCATAGATAATATCGTTAGGTGTTTTACCAAAAGCACAAAAGATATGAATGACAAAGTCCCCTTTAAAGTTGTGCTGCAGATATAAAACTTAGTAAATATTGTTGACCTTAAAGAATTTCTTTATTTATGAATATGGAAATACATTTTTTGAAAAATATGTGAAAAGTAAACGGCAGAATTCAGCATCCTACTTATGATAAAAACTAAGCAAACTACGAACTTAAAAAAACTTTCTCAGTGTTTCAAAAGGCATCTGTGAAAATCTGAAAATATGACTATTTATCCTGAATAGTCACAGACTTAATGCTTCCTCTCTAAAATCAGGATCAAGACAAGGATCTGTTCTCACCTCTCCTATTCAATATCATACTGTTGGTCCTAGCACATGTAGTATGTCAAGAAAAGGAATTTGAGTCATACAGATCAGAAAGGAAGAAATAAAATGTCTCTATTTGCTAAAGACATGGTTTTCTAGGTAGAAAATTCTTAAGAATTTGTAAAAAAAATAAGTGAGTTTAGCAAGATTACAGGATGCAAGGTCAATATTCAAAAAATAAATTATATCTCTATATGCTAATAATGAAAAACTTTAAATTGAAAATTTAAAAGTACCTTTTAGAGCAGCACCAAAAAAAATGAAATAATTTGGTATAAACATAACAAAAATACATAACATTTATGAGAAATAATTAAAGAACTAAATAAAAATGTAATACTCATAGATGGAAAGATTTGATTTTGTTAAGATGTCAATTTTCCCCAAATTGATGTACAGATTTAATACACTCTCAATCAAAATCCAGCAGGCATTTTTTTTTTTTTTTTTTCAGAAATTGGCAAGCTTATTCTAAAATGTATAGGGGGAAGCAAAGAAACTAGATTGGCTAAAACGTTTTGAATAATAAAAACAAAATTGGAGACTTAGCTATCTGATTTTAAGGCTTGTTGCAAAACTACACAATTCAAATCAGTATACATTGATATCGAGATAGACAAATCAATTAATGGAGTAGAATAGGTATATGTATACACACACACATACATATGCACATAAGGCAACTCAAGGGAGAAAGAATAGTCCTCTTCAAGAAACAGTGCTGGAACAATTAGAATCCATTTGCAAAAACAAAAACAATAAAAGAATTTCATCCCATACTTCAAACTGCATATAAAAATTAACTCAATCACAAACTTAAATGTATACCCACAAACTATAAAACTTCTCTAAGGAAATATAGAAGAAAATCATAGTGACCTTGGGTTAGGCACAGATTTCTTAGATGCAACATCAATAACATGATCCATAAATTTTTTTAATGATAAGTTGGGTTTCACCAAAATTAAAAACTGCTTTTAAAATGACATTGGGATTGAGATTGGTATTGACATATACACACTACTATAAATAAAATAGATAACTAATAAGAACCTACTGTGTAGCACAAGGAACTCTACTCAATATTCTGTAATGACCTACATGGGAAACGAATCTAAAAAAGAGTGGATATATGTATATGTATAACTGATTCACTTTGCGACACAGCAGAAATTAACACAACATTGTAAATCAACTATACTCCAGTATAACTTAATTTTTTAAAAATAGAAAGAAGAACCACACATGGGGAGAAAATATTTGCAAAGCGCATATCTGATAAAGGCTAGTATCCAGGATATATGAAGAACTTTCTAACAGTGCAATTAAAGAAAAATTCAGATTAACAAATGGGCAAAAGATTTGCACATACATTTTGTCAGATAAAATATACAGATTCCAAATAAACACATAAAAAGGTTTTCAACATCATTAGTCATTAGGGAAATGTACAATAATACCACAAGGAGATACCAATATATAACTATTAGAATGGCTGAAATTGTAAAAGAATAATAAAACAAAGAAACTGACTAGTAAAGATTTTAGTAACATGGGTATTTTCCAGGATACTCCTAGGATCTTACTGAATATGTTTGACTTTTACTAACTTTAGAGACAAAGGGTCAACGGAAAGAATCACGGGAAAACATCTGGGTTTACAGTTAATAGATTATAACTAGGAGGGCTCGTACATATATTTTCGTTTCTGCTCACTCTCCTGGGAGCAGTGGGACCATCTTCATTTTTGAGGTGCCATCAGAAGTCTTCTAGACCAGGGGTCCCCAACTCACAGGACGCGGACTGATACTGGTCCGCGGCCTGTTAGGAACCGGGCTGCACAGCAGGAGGCGAGCGGCAGGCGCGCGATTGAAGCTTCATCTGCTGCTCCCCATCGCTCCCTATCGCTTGCATTGCCGCCTGAACCGTCCCTACCCCCCACCGGCCATCCGTGGAAGAATTGTCTTCCACGAAACCGGTCCCTGGTGCCAAAAAGGTTGGGGAGCGCTGCTCT